GTCTTAGTTACCACTCCGAGGTTTCCCTTCTCCCTATCCTGGTTGTTGCGTCACCTCCTCAAAGTCTTCTTTGTCAGCTCCAATTCGAGGAGAGAGGACTTGGCTCTGGGAAGTGACCACAGGATCATCTATCCTCTAAACCTACGTGCAGTGACTACCTACCGTCTTCTACAATACTCAGCCTTACTCGTCAGCCATCTCAGCTCCTCACTTAAGTACTTGTATTTTGTATTAACTCCCCCACGTCCACTTGCTTCAAGATTGTTTTATGTTTATTAATATGTATATACTGTTAATGTTTAGGTTAAGTTTGGTTAAGGGTAATTTATAAGCTGAATATTTTGTTAAGGGATTTATGGTACTCTATTATATACAACGAAAACTCGCATCCTTTGTCTACCCTTTTATAGTCCGATTGTCTGTTTTTTTTTTTTTTTTTTGTTACCTGTTGGGATCTGGGTAGACGTATAACTATATTCTAAATCCCCAACTCGTAACACTACATACATACATACATACATACACTCCACTAGTCATGTAAGTAATCAGCTAATGCCAAATTCAGATATTAAAAGATTAACCTACAGGACTTCCCCATGCTTCCTCCCCGTCAGGCAGGTGTTACCGTCCCAGCGGCTCTTCCTTACCTGCACCTACAGTAGCACTTAATTAGTAAGGTGAGGCAGGTGAGGGGCTGGTAATTGATTGCTTATGTATTTCGACAAGGGTAGAGACTCTTTAGGTTGGTTCTCACGACACCTGGGGGCGGCAGGTTGGTGAGGTGGGTGGTGAGGTGGGTGGTAAGATGGGTGATAGGGTGGTAAGGTGGGTGGTAGGGTGGTGAGGTGGGTGGTAAGGTGGGTGGTAAGGTGGGTGGTAGAGTGGTAAGGTGGAGTGTAGTAGGAGTAGTAAGGTCATTCAGAAGAAGTAATGGAGTGGGTGGTAGGGTGGTGAAGATGAATTAGTAGAGTGTGTAAGGTGGTGGTAGAGTGGTAGGTGGGTGTGGTAGAGTGGTAAGGTGGTGTGGAATCAGGTGAGTGTGAGCCAGTGAGGTGGGTGGTAGAAACAGTGGTGGGTGGTAAGGTGGCAAAATTCGTTATTAGAGGTGGGTGGTAGAGATGTCAGGTGGGTGGTAGAGTGTGGTAGATTGGTGTTAGGGTCAGGTATGGTGGGTGGTAGGGTGGTGAGGTGGAGTGGTAGAGTGGTAAGGTGGGTGTGGAGTGGTGAGGTGGGTGGTGAGATTGCTAAGGTGGTGGTAGAAATTGGTAAAAGATTATAGTTGGTAGGAGTAGTAAAGATTGGGTGTGGGGTGGTGGGGGTGGGTGGTGTTAGGAGTTAGGTGGGGTGGGTGGTGGGGTGGTGGGTGGGTGGTGAGGGTGTGGGTGGGTGGTAGGGTGTGGTAAGGTGGGTGAGTAGGGTGTGGGTGGGGCATTAGAGATTGGTGGGGAGTCTGGGTGGTAGAGATTGGTGGGGTGGGTGGTAGAGTGGGTAAGATTAGATTGAGTAGGGTAGTAAGATTGGGTGGTGAAGTTGGTGGTGGGTGGTGGGGTTGGAAAGGTCGTTGGTGAGATTAATTGAGGTGGGTGGTGGGAAATTAGTGGGTGCGTTGAGTAGGGGTGGTGGGGAGTGGGTGTGGTAGAGATTAATTAAGATTGGGTGGTAGGGGTGGTAAAGGTGAATTGGTAGAGTGGTAAAGATTAGATTGGTAGAGATTGGTAAAGATTAGATTGTTAAATTGGTGGGGTGGAGTGTGTTAGGAGTGTGGTAGAGATTGGTAGAGTGGTAGATTGGGTGATAGAGTGGGTGGGGAATTAGATTGGTGAAATTAGTGGGTGGGTGGTGCAGGATGACAAGATTAGATTGGTGGGGTGATGAAGATTAGTTGGTGGAGTGGTGAAGATTAGATTGGTATGAGTGTGGGGTGCAGATTGGTAAAGATTAGTTGGTGAAGTTGGTAGATTAGTTGAGCCAGAGTGTTAGTTGGGTGGTGAGATTGATAAGATTGAATTGGTGAAATTAGTGGAATTAGATTGGTAGGAATTAGTAAAGATTGGGTGGTAGAGTGGTGGGTCTGGATTGGTGAGATTGGGCAAGATTACTGGGTCATTAAGATTAGATTGGTAGAATTAGATTGGTAGAGTGGTAAGGTCTGGGGAGGTAGGGTAGTAAGATTGATTAATTAAGACAGTAAGGTCGTTGAGTAAAGTTGAATTGGTAGAAGATTGAGTGGGGTGGATGGTAAATTGGTAAGATTGAATTGGTAGAGTGGTGAGGGTCGTTGGTAGAGATTAGTGGGTGGTGGTAGAGTGGTAAAGATTAGATTGTGGTAGAGTGGTGAGGGTGGGTGGTAGATTAGTGGAATTGAGTGGGTAGAGGTGGTAAGGTGGGTGGTAGGGTGAAATACTGGAGTGGGTGAGTAGAATTGGGTGAGGTGGATGGTAGAGATTGGTGGGGTGGGTGGTAGGGTGGTGAGTCAGGTGGTTAGGTGGTGAGTAAGGAGTGGGTAGTAGAGAGTGGTAAGGTGGGTGGTAGGGTAGTAAGGTGGGTGGTAGAATTATGATGGAGGTGGGTGGTAGGGTGGTGAGGTGGGTGGTAGGGTGGTGAGGTGAATTGGTAGGGTGGTGAGGTGAATTGGTAGAAATTAGTGAGGTGGGTGGTAAGGTGGGTGTGGAATTGGGTGGTAGAGATTGACCAGGAGGGTAAAGATTGGGTGGTAGAGTGGTAAAAAGAATTGGGTGGTAGAAGATGGTAAGGTGGGTGGTAGGGTGGTAAGGTGGGTGTAATGGGCCCCTGATATATCAACAGACGTATTATATAAATGGGTTAATACATCTGATATTATGTTGATTCACCTGTAACTTTCCATGTCTATGGTGAGGCATGATATGGACATGAGCGGCTTGCAGAGGGCAGGACCATAGCTCAGCATTTCATGTACTGCTCAAAGATGTTGTTGCTCCTCAACTCATATGTAAATTTGTTGACCTAACGTTTTATGTACATAAACATAAGTCCCTTTCTCATTGCTCCTGGACAGTGAGGTTTGGTTGATATTCTCTCAGGAATTATATATGTATTTTATAATAAAACATAGGAACACCGTTTTGGGTTTAGTTGCTTGAAACCCAAATATAAATATGTGTGAACAGTTGGTTAATTGGACAAGCAGCCGATTCATTGGTGTAGCGGTGTATAAGGATTCTTCGACTGGTAGTCGTATCGTCAGTCTGTGTTTTGTGAAAAAAAGAAGACACACATGAGTGGCGTTACATAATCCTAGTGTTTAAACTATATCCATTGTTGAGGCGATATGTTTAGGAGCTCTTATCTCTGTCATTCTAAATCACAGAATTGCTTAATATACATATATTACAACCTGTTGGTGATATCCAGATTGAGCCGGTTGAGATAGACTCTCAGCATTTCCTAGACATTAGGGTATTGCAGTGTTGAAAAAAGTTTCGTGGCCTGGTTTTCATTTGGTATTTCTAACAGCTGGGCAGTATTGTTTAATTCGGTGTCATCATACAGATCTCCATATATCGTGGAATGTGAAGGTGTAGCGTGGTTTTCGCTAGCGACCCAGCACTAACCAGTGTGATAACCAATCATCAGCAGTTTCTGACGCAGGGTGGAATTCCTAATTCGAGTGGACTCCGTCTCTCTCAAAACAAGAAGCGTCTTCGTTGCCAAAAACCAGCAACAGCGCTCTCATCCTAGGAAAAGGGCCGCCCACCTCACCCTCCCTCCTCAGAACTTGAAGGATCACATTTTCTATACTGAGCATACTCTCTGTATTAGTATTGTTAAATTACATAATTCTACACGCATGAACACGTTCAGAGATATCTTCACGATGGGTTGTCGGATAGGATTATTTCAATGATAAAGTGTCGAATGTAAGATTAATGTGTTGAAATCCTATAATTTACAATAGTTGTAAATGTCATCTTCTTAGTGGATAGTTTAATAATTAACTACAATTCATATTCATTTGTCTTGTTAATGAGGGTAGTGATCTACTTACTGTTAAGTGTTCATTGACCGGGGGTATTAGATAATTTCTGTTTTATCTATGTGGATGAAATCAGGCCTTAGCGTAACTGTTTGCTGATAACTTTCGTCGATGATCAAGCCCAGACTGATTATAGATTTTGAGTATGGAACACAGTTAGTGAGTTCGGTGGAAGTGAGAAAGTTATTGAAGAATCATTTGACGATAAATATCGTTGCCTACGGTCTGTTAATCATATAATTACCTCGCCTAAGTATTAAGCAGTTACCCTGTTCGGGTGATAGTGTGTCTGTTGCTAAATGTTAACAACAGTATTAACCAACCTTGCTGTTGGTAAGAATATAACTTTATGGATACTACTTACAATGGCGTTATAACCTCTGAGTACTTCTACTATTTAAAGCGATAATGTTATTAATGTCATTTTTGTGCCGATTATGTTCGAAATTTCACGGGACAAGACTGATTATAGGTTGCTTTTTTTTATTAGTGCATGTGAGATAGTATGAGCAATAGTCGCTGCTGTGGAAAGCATATGTAAGTTCATATATGGGGTTACTATGCGGCGATGGATTTTAATGCATTTTGGTTTACAAAGCCATGACTTTGAAAGTTCAGGAAGCGTAATTGGGATTTTGGGGGTGGGTCTGGCTAGACCAATGCAATGGATCTTCAGATGGTTGGATCGCTGTATTCGGAAGTAACTGAAGCTTGAAGGCCAGTTGGCCTGTTGACATGGAACCCGGGTTGGGGACTGCTGGCGACATTCGGTCATCAGGCTGGGTACAACTCACGGGGTGATATGTTACGAGAAGTGGAAACATTGTTGAGAACTAATAAATTTCTTCTTTCGAGTCGTGTTATTATAGTATTTTGATTGCAATTATAGACACCCTTGGATGTGGTGGAATGTAAATAAGCTCTGTCACAGACTCTGGGGCTTTACTGGCGCAGCCCTCAGTGACGTCTTTGAGCCCCAGCCGTATCAGGATGCCACAGATGCCTCACTCTCCAGACTCATGTGGGCCTTGGCGTTATATCCTTCAACATTTAAACAGAAAAGCTATGTTATGGTCTTTCATTGTAATAAGCGTTGGCCCGTATTGGAGGGTGTTTTCAGCTCGAGGTAATAGTGCTAATTAAGCAGCAGAGAAAAGCCATTCTCAAGGTCAGCAGAGAGAGATAGAGAGAGTGTGAGAGAGAAAGATGGTGCGCTCTTCGCAAATCGACATCTATAGTTTCACATGGTGCATTTATGCTAATAAGAGGCTAGAGTGGACCTAGTGGAAGCGATTGTAGTATAGGCATAATGAAAAGTCCCCAGGACAAGTCATCAGGAGACAGCGTCTACAGCGCGGAGGGGATAGATGGTGGTGCCTCCTCCACTTCTGTGGTTAGTAGCGCTTAGAAAGTGGTGTTGTCAGTGCGGTGATGGATAATACTGGATTGGCTCTTGATTATGGGCACGTTGCTTGAGCTAATGTGTTGCCTTGACATCATATCACGAGTTTCAATTGTAGTTCCTCTGTAGAATTCGTGGAGGCCTAGTAGCTGAGCTCGAGAGGTTTCAGGTATATTGAGCATTAAAGGAATGGTAGCGTTACCCTCAGATTCTCAGGCGTGGTTCTCCCTTCTACGTGGACTTTTATGAGTTCAGCAGTTCGATGTTGCCAGCGGTGTGGTTAATTGGTCTACTGTTCGAAAAGAACATGATAGATGTTCATCCACGTAATAATAGTATTACGTTTAAGGTGTTTCCTACTGATGAGTCATTCTGACTATGCTCACGCTGAGACGAAAGTGTTGTCTACCAATCCTATTAAGAGGAAGGCGGATCATGCGTCAGAATGTCTCTCGAACTCAACCACCTTCCGCGTGATTCAGCAGGTTGGAGATAGTACCTGCAATTTTGAAGTGCTCATTGCAGAATGAAGATTCTGTTGTAATGATCCTGTGGGCTAAGGAACATTGGTTTCTGTAAGTGATTAGTTCTGCAGGGTGTGACAGGACGTGAATGCAGTTGTTGTGACTCTCATCAATCAACGTCTGTCAAAAATTCTTTCGTATGGTGAACAGCTGATTACCGCTTACCTAGGTAGTGGTGACACATGGGGTCTGAGAGATGGTCTCTGCATTCTGATTGTAATTATTGTGGATGGCGTTGTGTGACCATTGGCGGGGTTTGTGTACTCAGGATTTTTTGAACATGTTGATCACCGGACATGAATGAGCTTCTGCTGTAAAACACACACAAGTCTACGGGATTCAGCGCATTTCCATTATCACGAATTAATAAAGGATGTTATTGTGATTTTCTGGTATGTAACAAGTGTCAAGTGCTGCAAATAAATTCCCAATTCAGTGTTGTTGCAGATTGCCAACGGACTCGACTGGCAGGATAGATCAGAAGTAACACATGTTAGGGTGATCTGATCATCTAACTCATATCGTAAGGACGACCTAACGTTTATCATACATAAACGCCGTCCCTTTCATTCACTCCTAGATGGTGA